GCGTCAGAATACCTTACTTCACCTTATATACCGCAATTAACTAACAAGGTGACTAATACTTTGAAATAGACTGTATAAAATGATTGGGTAATGTTTTTGCACTACATTTGGAAATTATATCTGATTTGATAACTACTGGTGCACTATTGATGCTCTATTTCCAGGAGGAGCCGTCCAAATATGGATATGTTGTTATATAATTGATCAACATTTTTTACAATACTTTTTAGTAATCTCACGTAGCTTAACTTTCTAAAAACGTGAATAAAATATTACTTCGTCTTACAACAAATTTTAAATATTTTTGAATCCCTGTAAATCCCAAAACTTTTTTTTGCAGATTCACAGATGACTTACGATTTGATTGGTCAACAATCACGTGGAGTCATCCCGAAATCTTGGACGGTTCCTCCTGGAGCCTATTGATGTCCTATGGGTCTCGATGATAACTATTAATTAAATAGTTTCTAATTAGTAAAAATATTTAATACCCCATTGCAGTATTGGTACCTTATTGATATCCTATTGGTACTCTATTAGTATCCTTTGAGTACGATTACTCTGACTACGTATTACTCTGATGGATGCTCTATTGACCAATAGAGTGGTCACTATTGAAATTCATTTTACCTATGTAGATATCGATATGAATTAAATAAATACCACACTGCATTACAAATGGCAAAAACATTGCGTAGTCTTTTTTCAATAAAAACTCTTTATTTTAAGAAAAACTGAAATTCTCTAAATAAGGAGCATTTTGACAACTATTATTAAATAAATTAAATAATCATGACAAAACCATATCTATTATGGTCACTGGCCGATGATTTTTCTATTAATAATACTAATCCTTCTTCTGTATGGTCTTATGGATATAAGAAAGACACTACTGGGTCGCTCACCTTATTTACACATTTACTTGCAGACCCACATAACACCAATGTATATGCATGGTTCGAATCTGGTGTCGACTGGAATACTCCTGGACAGTGGCTAGGGGTATATTATAACTCTAAAGCAATTAGTGTGAATATATCGTATAGTCAAATTATTATGTTCCCTCCACATAGTGTAGGCATGCACCCCGAGAATGACGGCAGGTTTTCGGTGGCGAGATATACTGCTCCGATAGATGGGAATTATAGCCTAACTGCAATATTCTCCCATATTGATATCGATGTTAATACAACCAATGCATCAACAGGAGTTTATATCATATGTAACAACCTCTATAATCTTTTTGACGATATCATATACGGGATGAAGGGTACAACTTTCTTTAAGTCAAATGGGAGTATCAATCTCAAAACAAATGATACCATAGACTTTATCAATATCTCTAGCACCACCGGTTAAGGTGAATTGCATAAGTTGCATTTGT